AAAAAAAAAATTATTGTTTATTTCAGTGATTTCTATAGATATATACTATAGAAATTAAAACTGAGAATTTTAAAAGGTTTATTTATTTATTAATCCTTTTAAAATAACAAAAATTCACTACATGTTAACATACTTTTTATAAAAATTGACTTTTCCAAAATAAAAAACTGTAATGAGAAGCCTGGCATTGTTTTACTGCATTCACACGCTCTAACATCTGGCTTAATAAGAGACAGCTGGATCCTCAGAGCTGCTTTGCTTTTAATCTGTTGTGATATCACATGTCCTGTAGTTTCTGGAAAACTCCATTGTACACTTACGAAAGCAAAGATGCCACATGTTTTAGTATGATTATGAGAATAATTTTGGCTTTACAGACTTCCTGAAAGGGTCTCAGGCTGGAAGTGGTAGCTCACGCCTATAATTCTAGCACTCTGGGAGGCCGAGGCAGGTGCATTGCCTGAGCTTAGGAGTTCCAGACCAGCCTGAACCAGAGCCAGACCTTGTCTCTAAAAAAAATAGCCATAGAAAAAATAAACAACAAATACTAACAATAATAATAAAATAGCCAGGCGTTGTGGTGGGTGCCTGTAGTCCCAGATACTTCAGAGCCTGAGGCAAGAGGATAGCTTAAGCCCAAGAGTTTGAGGTTGCTGTGAGCTGTGATGCCACGGCACTGTACCCAGGGTGACATAGTGAGACTTTGTCTCAAAAAACAAAAAGGGGGGGTCTCAGGAACCTCTCCCCACCCCTGAGGTTCCTGTACCATACTTTGAGAATTGCTGCTTTCTCCAGGTGTCATTGAAGGTGGCACCAACCACAAGATGGCACATTATGTACTTGAGAATTCCAGTTCCACACCCAAGACCTGGGAGTTTCACTCCGTCTTCTCTTTCTTTCAGGACTGGGGGACCCAGACTATACAGTAAGAGGCTGTGCAACCAATTCATGGTGCCAACGTGTCCATGTGGCCGATGCCTTCCCCATGACTCATCTCAACGTCTCATGCTGTAATGGAAGTGGCTGTAACCACCCAGCCCGGGATGTCCAGCACCGCAGAGGGGGTGCCTCTCAGCCTGGCCCTGCCCACCTCAGTCTCACCATTACTCTGCTTGTAACTGCCAGACTGTGGGGAGGCACTCTCCTCTGGACCTGAACCCAGTTCCCCACCTCTACCCGGGCTGGATCCGGGGAAACTCCTTTGCCCTTCCTTCAGCCTTTGGCCCTGCAGACTTGCTGCATGATGTCAGGCCAGTGTGCTAACATTTCTGGGTCTCAGTCTTCCCACCTGCCAAACACCTACCTATCTCAGCAGCGTGTGGTAGTTCATGCCGGTAATCCTAGCACTCTGGTAGGCCAAGGCTGGCAGATTGCTTGAGCTCAGGAGTTTGAACAAGACCAAGACCAAGACCCTGTCTCTATTAAAAGTAAAAAATCTAGACAGGCATAGTGCCTGTAGTCCCAGCTACTTGGGAGGCTAAGGCAAGAAGATTGCTCAAGCCTAAGAGTTTGAGGTTGCTGTGAGCTACGGTGTCGTGGCACTCTATCCAGGACAACAGAGTGAAACACTCTCTAAAAAAACAAAACAAAGCCAGCTGTAGTGGCTCAGGCCTGTAATCCTAGCACTCAGGGAGGCTGAGGCAGCTGGATTGCTTGAGCTCAGGAGTTTGAGACCAGCCTGAGCAAGAGTGAGACCCCCATTCCTACTAAAAATGAAAAACTGAGGCAAGAGGATCGCTTGAGCTCAAGAGTTTGAGGTGCTGTGAGTTATGATGCCACAGCACTCTACCAAGGGCAACAGAGTGAGACTCTGTCTCAAAAATAATAATAATAATAATATCAAAACAAAACAAAACGCCTATCTCTTAGTAGAGTTGTGAGAACAAGGGGGAAAAAGCTGGAGAAGAACTGTGGGCCAGGAGATATGATATAGAGAACTGTTGTTATTAATAATGTTGTCACTATTGTTGTTATTATTAATTAATATTCACATTATTTATTTTATACTTAAATAAAGGTTTTTGATACTCAGTGATTTTTTTTTTTTTTTTTTTGCAGTTTTTGGCCAGGGCCAGGTCTGAACCCACCACCTCCAGTATATGGGGCCGGTGCCCCACTCCTTTGAGCCACAGGCACCGCCCATACTTAGTGATTTTTATACTAGTGAACAAGGCCAGGTGTGCCCTTCTCCATAGCATCTGTGTTTGGGAGGATGAGTGGTGGGGGGCACCTTTCCACAGGCTCTTAGAATTAGAAATCATGTTGTAGGACCCAGGCATTTGTGGCCCCTGCCTAGGGGACAGTCCCTGTGGGCTTCTACACTGAGCTGCCTCCACAGCTATTTCTATCTTCCAAATGCAACCTTCCAACTCACCCACCCAACACTAACCTTTAGTCTCTTCTCCCAAACTTCAAAGGTTAAGACTATTTTGTTGGTCTAAAGGAGACATGTCTGTGTTTCCCAGGGTGCTCTGAGATAGGAGATGACCTGAGGGCCAGAACTCCCTTGAGAAATAAGGACAGGACTGGCCAGCACTTGTGGCTCAGTGAATAGGGCTCCAGCCCCATATACCAAGGGTGGCAGGTTCAAACCCCACCCCAACCAGCTAAAACAGCAGTGGCAACTGCAACAAAAAGCCGGGTGTCGTGGCAGGCGCTTGTAGTCCCAGCTACTTGGGAGGTTAAGGCAAGAGAATTGCATAAGCCCGAGAATTGGAGGTTGCTATGAGCTGTGATGTCACAGCACTCTACCGAGGGTGACAGAATGAAAAATAAATAAATAAATAAAATAAGGACAGGACTGCATTTCCCCTGATGCTCTCAGGGCAAGGGATAAACACGAGGACATATTTCCCAGGATGCCTTAGGACCTTCGGACAACTAATATTTCAATGACACTTTTGGAGCATATTATTGAAGAATTTGTGTTTTCTATGGTTCACTGAGGCAACCTGTGGAGACAAAATTACATTCCTCATGGGGCCTTGTGGTTAACGAAGAAAAAAATAGAACATTTTCTATGGTGGTATTTGGGGGCAGGCGAGGGACAGGGTTTCTTTTTAGGACTTCCTGCAATCACATATCACCACTGGTCATTGTGGTGGCTTAAAGAGGTGGGATCTGTACCTCTGCCTTTTGAATATGAATGACTTTATGACTGCTTTGACCAGTAGAATGTGGTGGAAATTTTGCTGTGCCATGTTCTGAAACCAGGCTTTAAGAAACTATAAGCTTCTACTTCCTGAATCTTGGTCTGGGGAAGCCAGTTGCCATGTAAAAGTCCTACTACCCTGAGACTGCCATGCTGTAAGGAAGCCCAAGCTACTCCTTTGTAGATAAGATACCACATGGAGAGAAAGCACCAGGTGTCTCAGTCATCTCAGCCCAGGAACCAGACAAGTGGGTGAAGGAGTCACTTTCAACATGCAGCCACTGCAGATATGCTACAGAGAAGGAAACTCAACTGTATCAATTTCCTAGGGCTGCCGTAATAATTACTATAAACCTACAAACTAGGTGGCTTAACATAACAGAAACTTATTCTCTCACAGTTCTAGATGCTAGAAGTCCAAAACCAAGGTGTTGGCAGAGCTATGCTCCCTCTAAAGCCTCTGGAGAATAATATTTCCTTGCCTCTCCTTGGCTTCTGATGGTTGCCAGCAATCCTTGGCATTCATTGGCTCACAGCTACATCACTCCATCTCTACCCCCTGTCTTCACAAGACCTCTTCCCTGTGAGTGTAGCTGTGTGTCTCCAAATGTTTCTCTCTCTACTTATAATGATATCAATCACTGGATTTAGAATCCACCCTAATTTCCTCCCCCCAGCCCTTGGGCATGGATTAATCTAATCATTAATTTAATAAAATCTGTAAAGACTTTTCCAAGTAAGGTCATAAGCATAGCTTCCAGGGGTTAAGACTTCAATATATTTTTAAGGAGGATACAACTCAACACCCACAATACCAACCCAAAGCCTCAGATAATATAGTCCCAGATGAATATTCCCTCCATCTCTAACTGTTCAAGCCACTTCATTTTTGTCTTCAGTTCATCATGAAATAAATACACACCAATCCTGCTCAAATTCCTGAACCACAGAATTGTAAAATAGAAAGATTGTTGTTTGACATCTCTAAGTTTTGGAGTATTTTTGATCTTCAGTTTATTGGAACAGTCTTTTTTTTTTTTGAGACAGAGTCTCATTATGTTGCCCTCGATAGAGTGCCATGGCGTCACAGCTCACAGCAAACTCAAACTCTTGGACTTAAGAGATTCTCTTGCCTCAGCCTCCCAAGTAGCTGAGACTACAGGCGCCTGCCACAATACCAGGCTATTTTTTTGTTGCATTCATTATTGTTGTTTAGCTGCCCGAGCCAGGTTGGAACCCACCAGCCCTGGTACATGTGGCCGGCGCTCTAACTACTGTGCTATAGGCACCCAGCCTCCTGACTTGTTTATATACCTATGCCTATAGCAATCACCGGAAGGGGGCATAGAAGCCAAACGCATTTGACAAAGTATATTCAGAGCCCATTCCTGGGGTTCTTCCCACATCACTTGGTTATTAAAGAAGGTTGGATAGATGAGCATAATCTGTGCTCTTTTAAGAAGAAGAAAAAAGAGAGATAATGATACTGGGGAAACAACTAACAAAGTCTGCACTATCCTAAGACTTCTCTTGAAGATAGTCTTGTAATTGTTTGTGGCTGAGGAAGCTGATTTCACCTCTAACCTGGGAGCAGAGCCTATAGCCCATATTTAATTTAAGTGGCATAATCCTACTACCCTTGGCCATAGGTATTGCTCCAGGTAAATAACATCATTTGGGCCAATGAGACACAAAGAAAAAGTTTGTCGGGGGTGTTCAAGGGACACAAAGCTTTAGGTTTGGGGGTTTAAAGGGGTTTTAAACAAGGACACAAATTTCCCACTCTGCTGGGGGAGTTCCTTAAAGTCTCTTATTTTTCTCCTTTTCTCTCTTCCCCTTTTGGTCTCCCCAGCCTAATTCTCACAATCTTTTTATCTGTCTCCCCTGCACCTCCTCAAATATGAATCTGGCCTCAGAGGCGTTTGCTAACTATCTTGTAACATGAGGGGAGCCATCCTTTCTTAGGACAGAGAGATTGACAGACTGTGCCAAAATAAGCCATACTCAGAACTTTCTGCTATGTGAACCAGTTCTCTTTCTCTCTAGCCAGTTGGGTTAGATTTGCCATTACTTGCAATAAAACCCTAACGGAGGCTTGGCACCTGTGGATCAAGCGGCTAAGACGCCAGCCATATACACCTGAGCTGGCGGGTTCAAATCCAGCCCGGGCCCACCAAACAACAATGACGGCTGCAACCAAAAAATAGCCAGGTGTTGTGGCAGGTGCCTGTAATCTCAGCTACTTGGGAGGCTGAGGCAAGAGAATCGTTTGAGCCCAGGAGTTGGAGGTTGCTGTGAGCTGTGATGCCATGGCACTCTACCCAAGGGTGACAGCTTGAGGCTCTGTCTCAAAAAAAAAAAACCCCTAATGGACAGGTTACTCTGGAGTATGATGGGGAGTGAACCATCACTTTTGTGGTATCTTCAGATGGAAGAAAGAGTGGGACTCAAAGATGATGGAAGAGAAATAAACCAATGTTTCCTAGGGTGCCCCATAGCTGGCACAGGAGACATCAGTTAGACCCCTAAGTGAGGAGGCCTATTGGTTATTATGGGAAAATACAACTACTAGTTACACCTTGAACCAGTACCCTGAATGCAGTCAAACACCTCTCTCCTACCTAGAGCTAGTCACAGAATGTGAGCCCTGGAAAGAAAATGAGGAGACTATCCAGACTTGACTCCTGCTTTCCCCAGTCTACAGAAGCTGGAAAGCTGAGAACTGAAAAGAAAAGAAGTTGCTCAGAGCTATAGTCCTGGAGACAGAGGAGTTGATGGGAGCTTTGGTCCTGAGGACAGAGAGGATGCTGGGAACTGGGACTTGAGGATAGAAAGAGTGTCAGGAGCTAAAGTCCCTTGGTGTTCCTGGATATAGAATACTTTAGTAGTGATAAAGAGTAAGGATTTTCATAATTGGCATATCTGGACCTAAGTTTTAATTATCGGACAGGCATGGGAGAAATCGAGGCCTCCTACTTTCCATGGTTTCTCACTCTTCCAGGGTCCTGTAGGTGTGATAATCCTGCATCTGGCCTACAGGGTCACTCAGAAGTGGGCTCAGGGAGATCCACTTTCAAGAAGAAGAAGAAACTGAGAAAATGACATGAAGGCTGTGTTGACCAGTTTGATGGAAGTAGTTCGGATTGCATGTGAAAACCCCACACTGTACCCCAGAAGTGCATTAATGTACATAGTTACCATTCAAAAAAAAAAATAACAATAAAAAAAGGAGAAGAAGAAACCTAAGTCTGGAG